AATGCTCCATCCTGTCATCACACAAGGGGATGGGAAGTTACTAGCCGTACACCTTCCAGTCCCGACTTGGCTCCTCTGACTTCTCTGTTTCCTAATCTTAAAAACTATACAGAGCCGCCCTGTTTTCTTCAGCTAGTAATGTAAAAGGCCTACACTGACAGGGTGTCATTCCCAGGACCCTCCGTTCTTTAAGAAGAGGTCTAATGACTGGTATCATTGCTTAAAAAGTATCTTGAATTTGATGGAATTTATGTTGAGAAATAAATTTTTTTTTTATCTTTTCATTGCATTTGTCTGTGAATTCTTTGAAATCCCATTGTATTGCAAAAATTTTGTTACAGTTACATTTGTGACTCTAAACCCCAAGTCTTTAAATGAAAAATATCAAAGTGTCACTCACTTTGGACACTGAGCAGAATTCTTTCTGTGTATTTAATATAAGGTCACACTCTTCTTAAAGCCATAGCTTACCTTCCAGCAAGGTATTGAAAACGAATTCACTCTCCTTACAAGTGACAATCTAACCTTTGTGGTTAGAGTTCTTCCCGAGTAATCCATCCTGCCACTTCTCTTTCCACCATCGCAACTCTTGTTAGCATGATAAACAGTAAAAGCATGCTTCTCAATTTATTGACTTTTTTCTGTTAATCTGTAAATTCTTCTCTTTTTTAGCAGAGCCAACAGAATGTCCTGAGTGGACACAATCAGCAGACGTCGCTCCCCAGTCAGACCCAGGGCACTCTGACAGCCCCTCTGTATAACACGATGGTGATTTCTCAGCCCGCGGCTGGAAGCATGGTTCAGATCCCCTCTAGTATACCACAAAACAGTACCCAGAGTGCCGCGGTCACTACCTTCACTCAGGACAGACAGATAAGGTAATCGCCACATTTTGTTTGTCATTTACAAAGTTGTAAATTGATGATTAAAAAGTAGTAATTTGATTTTTAAAAAACATTATTTTAGTTTGTTGATCACTGTAGCCAGTATCTTAAATTTGAAATAAAAATATAGTATGATCATTGTTCAAAGACTTCATACTAAGAGGATAACAAATTTTGTTTCTTTTCCACTAACTCCTGTGGAATCCATTACACAGGCTTTATGACAGGCTTTGTGTCAGCGAGTAACTTTTATCTTTTCAATACAGACACGAGTTTGTGTGTGGTAAAATGGCTAGTTTATTAACTGCTCAAAATATTATCTCCTTTAATTTTTACTCAACAAAAAATATGAGTATGAGGCTTCTTTTATTTCCCAGATAAGAGGAAAAAAATGGGTTTTTAGTAATTTGATCAAGGGGCACTATCCAGTTAAGATTGAAGAAAGCTTCAAACTCAAGTGTGGGTATCTGATTTTAGAATGTAAATGCTTAAACATATGCTGCACTAAGCTTTTGTGGACTGTTCTAGAAAAATTAGAAAAATAGTCACCCATGACTTATTTTAGTGAGAAGTCCACGTAGCTCCATCTGAAACAATTTTTTTTTTTTTAAGAAATGTCCTCTCTGCATTGGGAAGCCATCTCTCACACTTTTCGTTTGTCATCAGAGGGTATGAGCACTAGCCAGAGGGACAAAGAAGTAGGAGAAAACATCCCCTGTTGGGACTTGGTCATAGTGCAGTTCCTTCTCCATTTTTCCACCCTATTGGAATTTTGGATGCACACACACTTCCAGCATGTTTTCAAGATACGAAGTCTGGGGACCAGCGGTTAGCGTAATGGCTATGTCGCTGGACTACCACGTAGTCAACCGTGGTTCGCGTCCCAGACCCGGTGGCTTAAAACTCACGCCGGGCGCGTGTGCGTGCGTGCCCAAGATCCCGAGAGGAGAATGGAGAAGAAGGGATTGCGGCATGGCCATCCCCCCTGGGGGGTGATTTATCGCTTTCTATCTCTCTGTCTCTCTGTGTCTGGCTAGCGCACGCACTTTATAGCAAAAACCTCTCAAAAAAAGAAAAGATACAAGGTCTGGAACTCGAGCACACGGTGGACCAGTGGGCTCTGGCTCCCTTAACCACTAGGCAGCAGGGTCAGACTGGCGGCTGTCTTCTCACAGCTACAGGGATCTCTGTAGTTTGAGCTCTCATCTTCTAGGCATTTTAAGTTTTTACTTATTTTACTAGGTAGGTTGCTCGTTTAGAGTATAATTTTTTTGTTTTATTAGACAATGTAATATATTTTATTAAAATCATGTCAATAATTTCCACGAAGTAAAAAAGCTCTAGGATCACATAGGCATTTAGAGTAGTGAGAACTATTTCTTTTGGAGCTCAGTGACTTTGACTCAAAAAGTCTGGTTTTAGTTTTTACATTCTAAAAGGAAGTATTCTGGGGACCAGCAGTTAGCGTAATGGCTATGTCGCTGGACTCACATGTAGTCAACTGCAGTTCGAGTCCCAGATCTGGTGGCTTAAAACTCACGCCGGGTGCATGTGCGTGCGTGCCCAAGAGAAGGGAGAAGGGATTGCAGCGTGGCCATCCCCCTGGGGGGTGATTTCTCGCTTTCTATCTCTCTGTGTCCTGCGAGCGCACGTGCCCTAAAGCAAAAAAAAAAAAAAAATACCACTCAAAGAAAAAAATGAGCACCATACAAATGAAGGAGGAGGCTCTTTTTTTTTTTTTTTTAAAGAATCGTTTATTCCATTTGTTATAATGTTTTTCAGTTTGACCAGACAGAGACAAAGAGAGAGAGAAAGGGAAAGTGAGAAAGCAAGCCACCAAGTCCAGGACTTGAACTGCAGTCAGCCATGTGAGAATCTAGCAACCATCACACCACCTGCTGGTCCCAGAAGGCTGGCTTAAAGCCTCATGACAAAAACATAAACTAGAATGCTGACATGCATTTGGAGGGTGCAGTCTCTAGCAACTGTGGGTGATTTTCAACTTCCAGTGAAATGGAAATTGAGAAATAAACTAGAATGCTGACATGCATTTGGAGGGTGCAGTCTCTAGCAACTGTGGGTGATTTTCAACTTCCAGTGAAATGGTACTTGACAGTTGTTTACTTTAAGATGATACGAAACTGATACATGTTCAGGAGATGCCGTACTTTGAGTACTATGCATTTATTCAGTCTTTCATGTTTAATACAGTATTGAGTAAATTACACAAGACACTCAATACTTTATTACAAAATAAGCTTTGAATTCGATGATTTTGCTGAGTGTAGACTAATTCTGAGCACATAGGCGAAGGTTAGGTGCATTTAATTCATTTTCAACTTAAAATATTTTCACCTTATCTGCAAGTAACCCCATAGTAAGTTGTGGAACATCTGTATTTGTAAACATTTGATTTTTGAGGAGAAAAGTACATATTTCAGTGAACTTTTAAAGGCATGCTTAGGTAAACATGGAATTGTCCTTTCCGCAAGGGAAAGACTAGTTAAAGCAATAGAGCGATAGATAAGTCAGGACATCCTTGGTAGGACAGATCTGTAATAGGTCTTCAGAAGGAAGGAGGGAGTAGTTTTATGGCTTAAGCCGAGCAGTTAGAGGGGAGCGTGATCAGGGAATGAGGCCACAGAAGCAAGCACTTGGCCTGAGTCTTAAGAGGTTGGCTTTGGGTGCCTCCAGGGCAAGGAATCTAGGGAGGTGCTCCAGGCAGAGGGAGCAGTACATACAGAGCCATGGACGTGGGAGTTCAGTAGAAGAATAGTAAAGTGTCTCAGTGCCAGAGGTGAGTGAAGTGTTCTCATATTAACCGTGAGCCCTTGGGAAGTGTAGATAACAATCTCAGTTAAGATTACAGAGAAGTGAACTCTTACTGTTTCTGTGGCCGAGTGCACTTTGTAAAGTTGTTTATGTTATGTTAAATCTTTAGTAGGGTCATATCTCAGTTTCTTCACTGTATGGCCAATGCTAGAAGCAGATTTCATTTCACAGAAAAGACAAATGGAAATGCTGCTGTTCACAGAAGAAGCATCTTTTTTTTTTTAATTGAAGAAAACAAAAGGAGAGGGAGGGGAGGGAGAGAAATGGGTGAACTGGAACGCATGGGCACTTGCTGCGCTGATAAATGTAAAAGTGGAGAGTGTCTTCACTACTGGACTGTCATTTTGTTATTAGGTGCTTAGAAGATAGAACTTTCAGTGTAAATTTCTTTTTATTTTTTGAAAGAATTATTTAACTTTTATTTATTTATTCATATATACATACATGCATATCAGAGAGGGACAGAGCAAGCGAGTGATAGAAAGTGTGAAAAAGAAAGTGAGAAAACAAGCTGCCAATTCCGGGACTTGAACCGCAGTCAGCCATGTGGGAGTCCAGTGCCCTTAACCACTGTGCCACCTGCTGGCCCCCGATATGAATTTCTTTGATAAACTTAAGAGTTTAAAAATCACCTTTGAGTGTATTTAGGAGTTGTGTGCCAGTGTGGCAAGTGAATTGTGTGCACTTGGGTGTGACTCCCATGGACCCAGCATGAGGCATCTTCAGAAAGATTGTGGAAATGCTATGGAAAAACTCTGGATGGATTTCAGAATTTTTTATACCAAAATAAATTCATACTTTATTTCCACTTTTCCATGAAGTTTTTAAAGGTAATAATTTTTTAAAAGAAAATAGTCTGTATTTTTTACAGGTTTAAAACTTTTTGTTGTGGTAAAACATATAAAATTTACCATTTTAACTATCGAGTATAGTCACATGGTTGTTAATCATCACCTTCTCAAACTGAAGCTCTGTATCTGTTAAATACCTGCCTGGCCCCTTCCCCTGCAGTGCTTAGCAGCCACCATTCTATTTTCTTCTGGGATTTTGACTGCTTTGTGTACCTCATGTAAGCGGAATCACACAGGTGTTTGTTCTTTTGACTGGTTTCTTTCTTTATTGAGAGGGTTTAGCCTTCAGGCATGTGTGTTCACTGAGAAGAGAAAGGCAGTGAGTGGGAAAGTGAGAAATCACCCCGCAGCGCGGACAGCCACACCATAGTCCTCTCTCCTCCATTCTCTTGGGATCTTGATCATGCACACACATGCACCCAGCATGAGTTTCAAGCCACCAGTCCAGGACTCACCATGGAGAGCCACGTGGCAGTCCAGCAGTGTAGCCACTGCACCATCTGTTGACCCCTTGCCTGGCTTATCTCACTTAGCATAGCGTTCCCAGGTTAATCCGTGTCATACGTGTGAGACTTCCCTTCCTTTGAAAGGCTGAACATTGCACCGTTGTATGTGTGCACTGCGTATGCTTATCTGGTTACCTGTCAGCAGGTATTTGGGTTGCATCCACCTCCAGGCTGGTGTGAATAACGCTGTTGTGGACATAGGTGTGCAGGTATCTGTGTACGTTTCTGCTGTTTGTCTCTTGGGTGTACACCTAGAAATAGAATTGCTTCATCTGGTAATTGTAGTTAATTTTTGAGGGCCTGCATACTCTTCTTCACAGTGGCTATACCATTTTACATTCTCACCAGCCATGCACAGGGCTTCTCTGCATCCCTGTGTGGTTACTTTTTGGTGTTATTTATTTATTTATTTATTTTTTAATAATACGTGTCTCCTTAGGTATAAAGTGGCTTCTCACTGTGGCTTTGACCTGCATTTCCCTAATGATTAGGGAGACTGAACACCTTTCATGTCTTTGGAGAAATGTCTACTCAAGTTTACCTTTGCTCTTCTTTTTCTTGGAGAATTTTGCTACAGGGTGTGTATGCTTGACGGAGAGACAGAGAGACACAGAAAGCAAGAAATCACCCCCGGAGGGGAGGACCACGCTGCAATCCCTTCTCCTCTGTTCTCCTCTCAGGATCTTAGGCACGCACGTGTGCCTGGTGTGAGTTTCAAGCCACTAGGTCCAGGACTTGAACCGTGGTCGGCCATGTGAGAGTCTAGCAACATAACCACTGTGCTATATGTTGGCCCCACTTTTGAAGTTTTATACTTTTAGCTTTTAATGTTTTGGTCCTTGATGCATTTTGAGTTAATTTTGTATATGGTATAAGGTAGGAAGACCCAACTTCATTCTTTTTGAATGTTGGTACCCAAAAACCCCTGTATTTTTTTTTATGTTGTTATATATGTAACAATTTTTCATTTTACTATATCCCAAAAAAAAACTTTTAAAACATGAAACAAGGACCAGCTGGTGGTGTGGAGGTGAAGATGGCTCAATCCCACATGGCCAACTTAGTGGTTCAAGTCCTGGGCCTGTGTACACTTGTGCTCCAGATCCCGAGAGAACGCAAGAAAAGGGATTGTGGTGTGGTCATACCCCTATGTTGGGGGGTGATTTCTCACTCTGTCTGTCTCTGGCAAGCACCCATGCCCTTAGCAAAACCTAAAAGAAAAAAGAAAAACAAACAAAATAGGAACATAACAGCCTTAAAAAACCTAAATCGACGAGCTGAGTACCTTAAGTAGGTGTATTCTGCCCTCTGCCTTTATGATGTGCACCTTTGACTTTCGACTCCACTTTCTTTTCTTCCTCTAACAGGTTCTCTCAAGGTCAGCAGCTTGTGACCAAACTGGTGACTGCTCCTGTGGCTTGTGGGGCCGTCATGGTCCCTAGTACGATGCTCATGGGTCAGGTGGTGACTGCCTATCCCACCTTTGCCACGCAGCAGCAGCAGTCCCAGACCCTGTCGGTGACGCCACCGCAGCCGCCGCCGCCGAGCTCGCAGGAGCAGCAGCTCACGTCGGTGCCCCAACCGTCTCAGGCCCCACTGGCCCAGCCGCCGCAGCAGTTTTTACAGGTAGTTCAGCCACGGGGAAGCTGTCTCAGTCCTATCCACTCTGTTTTCCTTTTTCTTTTTTTTTAAATTGCTTTCAATTTAATTTTATTTATTCCTTCATTTATTTTCATTTGACCAGAGAAAGGGAAAGTGAGAAAGCAAGTCACCAGGTCTGGGACTTAAACCATGGTCTGCCATGTGGGAGTGTCCAGCACTTTAACCACCATGCCACCTGCTGGTCCCCTCATTCCTATTCACTCTTTTTTTTTTTCTTTTTTTGGAGTGTTTTTTTGCTATAGGGTGCGTGCACTTGCCAGAAAGACAGAGAGAGACAGAGAGACAGAGAGAAAGCGAGAAATCACCCCCCAGGGGGGATGGCCACGCCACAATCCCTTCTCTTCCATTCTCCTTTCGAGATCTTGGACACACACACACTGTGACTTTAAGCCACCGGGTCCGGGACTCGAACCACAGTCGACTACGTGGGAGTCCAGCGACATAGCCATTATGCTAACTGCTGGTCCCAATCCTATTCATTCTTATAAAATGAAATTCGGTGTTGAATAAACAGTCTTATAACTGATCTGAGAAATTTATAAAAGCTTCCTATGCAGTTTAAACCTTTGCAAGGCAGAAGCTTTTTTGCTACAGGGTGTGCGTGCTTACGAGGGGATGGCCACGCTGCAGTCCCCTGGTTAGCTGCGGAGGGCATTCAGCCCTGCTGTGGGCATGCCCACTTACCTGGACTGCTAGGTAGGAGGGCCTGTTTCCTGCCCACAGCGGACCACTGGGCCTGGAGCCCACTTTCTCAGCCTTTGGCCAAAGTTTCTAAAGTTTAAGCTAAGGTACTTTTCTTTCTGCAGTTCCTTCTTAGCTGCTTATCAATTATCTACTCCGTGTGGGGCAAGGGTATCAAGAGGAATAAACTTTTTTTTTTTTAGAGAGATTTTCGCTATAGGGCGCGTGCGCTCGCCAGACAGACAGAGAGAGACATAGAGACAGAAAGCGAGAAATTACCTCCTGGGGGGATGGTCACGCCGCAATCCCTTCTCCTCCATTCTCCTCTCGGGATCATGGGCACGCACGCACACGCGCCCGGCGTGAGTTTTAAGCCACCGGGTCCGGGACACGAACCGCGGTCGACTACATGGGAGTCCAGCGACATAGCCATTACGCTAACTGCTGGTTCCCAGGAATGAACTTTTTTAGTAGTAGTACATGTAGGCATTGTCTTAATTTTGTTGGATTAAATTTCATTGTGATCCTGTTATAAATTAGTATCGGAGGAGAGATACCGTGGAGGTGCAGCCGTGTTAAGGACTTGGGCTCTGGAGTCCGGTTACCCTGAGATAAGTCACGGCCGCATCACATACTGTGACCACCTGTCCCACAGCGTGAGGTGAACAGAGTCCTAGCTCATGGAGAGAGTGCTGAAGGTAGAACGAGGCACCACTAGCTGGCATCTATAATGTGCCAGTTGTACGTATTGGAAATGTGGTAGACACCTCGATTAACAAATATGGACAAATGCAAACCCAGGTGTCCTGTCAGTAGCTCGGACAGGATCTGCTTATCTGCAGGGCAGGGCTTCTGGCGACAGACCCTCTGCCGGTGCCCATTTTGTTCTGTTTTTCCTACCACACTGCTACGTACAACTTTGTATTAGTTTTCGCGCTGCTTTTAAGTAATAATATTAGTCTTTATAAAACCTCAGTGTTGTGACGTTTACTCTGTAAATGAAGCCGCGGTCTACAGCAGTGTAGGGTGGCCCGCCAGCACCCACACAGTGGATGGCAGGGACCTGCTCTCGGCAGCTCATTTCACTTCTCTGACCAGCCCGAGACCTGCGTGCAGGTCTCAGAGGGTTTTTTCACAGAGGCCAACTCAGTTTTTATTCTGTTTAAAATTTGGCCTTTAGCTCTTTAGGATGTATACGAAAGAATACATGTGGTTTATTCCACACATATGTGACTTTTATAGTAAGAAATCTTCAGCTCAGATATCTGAAAAAGTGAAATTGCCTTACTTTCAGAGAAGGGGAAGAGCCTCAAACATTGTCCAGAATTGATAAATTACAGAACGAAGATGAAGTGACGTAGAACGTGAGGCTCTTGTCCCTGTGGACAGTGCAGCGGGGTGAAGCAGTATTGCATGACCCACTTGTTCTTTAGACTTCTAGGTTGCTGCATGGAAACCCTTCGACTCAGCTCATCCTCTCTGCTGCGTTTCCACTACAACAGAGCACCTTCCCTCCGTCGCATCACCAGCAACACCAGTCTCAGCAACAGCAGCAGCTCAGTCGGCACAGGACTGACAGCTTGACCGACCCTTCCAAGGTTCCGCCGTAGTGACTCGGCGATGTCGCGGGAGGAAGGCATGGCCCAGGAAGAGCTGCTAGATGACCTGAGGATGGGAGGGAGAAGCTCAGCAGTTTCATGCAGTGCAGTATTGAGTGTTCTAGTTCTGGAAGTAGTTGGCAGGGGCACTGCTGCCTAGGGCTACAGATGTAGATTAAATACCAGCCAGCAGATGATCATAGGGACATAGCCAATTCTCACAGTGTTTCAGTTGCCCAGATTTTTTTAATGGAAAAGAGTGCATTGCCAAATGTTAAAAAGCTCCACTATGGAATGACTTCAAGTCAGAGAGGCACTGACAATGTTCGTAACTCGTAGCGGTTCTGTGCCTGTTACCAAGTGTTGCAGAGGACACGCCACATCAGGGGTTTGCTTAACGGTGCCGTGAAGACAGTGTGGTAGACACGGTAGCCCTTCCCCCCTCAGTCCTTCCCCTCTTTAGGTAATGATGGAACAGTAATTATTTTCAGAATGTTATATGGGTTCAAATTCTCTGTGTACAGATACTGTAAAAATATGTATATGTCTGGATGAAAGGACAGAAAGCAAAACATTCTGTATGCTGCATGAGAAAGCACCCTCTCTTCCTGGTAGGTATGAGTGCATTTCCTTGGATTCTGACACACCCTCGTTTTTCCTTTCGTTTACAACACGGTAGTGTTCTATTCACCTTCCCGGGGCACAGGTCTTTCCAGTCACACTGGCTGTGGTGTCACACTTTGCTCGGTGAGGGATGGTGTGCTGCTGGGAATGGATCTTTTTTTTCAGGTTAAATTATTGCTACAACAGAATTTTCAAGTTATTCAGAACTATCCCTCATTTCATTATTTTCAATTATGTTTGAAAAACAAGATTTTTGCACTGCTTTTAGATGGTCGAGAGTTTTGATCACATATTTTGATATAGTTCATAGTTGGAAATATTTGTGTAAATGGTTTTCAACAAGCCTGAAAGTAATTTCAAGAATGTTTCAGTTATAGGAGTAAAATTTGCACAGAAAACATTGTAGGCACTTTTTAACATTCTTAATGGTGGGAATTTTAACTTTTAGGATTTGTTGGAATCTTTTTATTATCCTTCACAATTTCAATGCTTATTTTAGTCAGAAATGATTCAGTGTTATTTGAGGGACAAAAAAAAAAAAAAAAAAACATAAAAAAAAAAACCCATAGTGCCTTGATTTTAATTCAGGTGATAACTCACCATCTTGAACTCATTGTCTGGTTCAGTAGCTGTTTTGAAACCTTAGTACATTTTTAACAGCATGTGGGTGTCACTGTCATTCTCCTAAGTTCCTGTGAAGACTGCTGTAAGTCTCTTGAACTGGAGGTACAAATTGTTTAAATAAAAGATGACAACACTGTCACAATTATTTGTGATCCCTAAATTATTTCCTATATCAGCATTTTCCTTGAAAGCTAAATAGTCACTTCAGAACACCAAGAAATAATTGTTCAATATGATCTTGATATTCCTACAAAGAAAACAGAAGGGGTAGGAAGTCAAGCAAAGCAAAGCGAAGGTTGCTTTTAATACACTAGAAAATTGTAACTCACATGCTTTTTAAACATGAACTAAGATTTCATTTGGCAATATCATTCTAAAGGTAATAAATTCCAACATAAGATTCATATGTTTTAAAAAACCATTTTATAGATTTTGTGGTACTGATAATGCAATATACAACTATAGAACAAAAGATTAATGAAAAAAATCTTACCTATAATATTGAAAATTACTACGGAGGAAGAGGAGGATAACAAGCATAATAAATCAAAATTGATCTTAAAAGAAAATGTTCAGCAGAGTTGAGGTCATTCACCAGAAAAAAGTTTTGAGTGATGAAAGTAATTTAGAGCAAAATTGCTAGATTAAGGGGCCAGGGGAACGCTAAGTTTGGAAAACTTCTCTGTCCTCAGCTTTACTGATATCTTTAAGGGATATATATATTTTGTCTTTTTGTAGAAAACTACCTGGCCACAAGTAAGTTAGAAAAAAGAAACCAACCAAAGAAAACTGGCACCTGCCCGCAAAAGAAGTGTGACTAGATAGCAGTCAGCCATTCGCACCCCAGGGGCCCTTGGAGCTCAGCGCTCACCCAGGGGGTCAGGGACCTCCGCCAGAGCGAGCTGGGCCGGCCACTGGCCACTGCACACACAGAGCCAGAGCCAGAGCCCACCTGCGGCGTTGGCAGCTGGCGTCCTGCCCTCTCAAATTGCCTTTCTCAGCCTCCATCATTCCAGTATCTGAGCTGTGCCTGGTTTAGTTCTCGGCAGTACTTAGAGATAGGGATTAGCTAAGAGAAGGTGTGAAGAACTGCAGAACGTGGCCTCTAGGAAGCAGACTGAAGGGAGTGAGCCGAGTACTGTGTACTTGGGGAGCAGAAGAAGCCGCAGACACACAAGGGCCAGTCTGTAGGCTGTTGGCACACATTCTGTTTTCACAAATATTTGCAAAAGAAAAAATTCCCCTTTATAATTCCTATTGTTCTTCACAGCTCATCTTTTTCCTGCTTGGAATTAACAGTTGCTAGATTTAAAGGAGCATCTAGTTACTTTCCCCTGGCTGTTCGGATCCAGCGAGCGTGTTGGGAAAGCTCTGAAGCACCGACTGCCCCTTCACTCTTTACCCCTCCTCTGCTTACCTGGGGTTGGTACTGCAGGTCTG